AATGGCAAAGTCTCCTGGAGTCCTAATTTTATCAAATGGACAAAGTTTATGTAAGGAATATAAACCACCACAATTTCAAATATTGAGGCATGTAATTGAATAGCTAGATCACTGAATGTGTTTCAGCTCCAACATTACTAACAAAACTATCTACTTCATATGGGCCCTACACAGAGCCCCGGAGCAGTGTTCTGTGCTGCTGGACACCACCAGTCACCAAAGTGGCCTTTGGGTGCTACCTCAACGGCTGGTCTCACAATACAGCATGATTTTATGAAGACAGCTTTGGTTACAGTAAGACATAAATTTCAGCTGCTGTCTTTGACAGAGGAAGAGCTAGCTGGTAAAGCAGACATTAATTCCAAACAGGTTTGTAACAAGTTTGCGTTCACAGCTGAGAAAAAAATAATCAAGTACTTAGCAGATGACACATCCTCTTTGCTTTGTAATTCAACATCCTGCAATATAAAAACTTGTGGGCTATCAAGGAAGAGGAACCATAACCTTGACTCATTTCCTACTATGTGAAGTAGTGCAGCAACTTTGTCTGTGGCAGGTTCAAATACAGTTCAACATGGGTTAGTAGGTAACCCTGCTTCTAGTGCTTTTTGTCTCTGATAGCTCAGCAAAGGAGACTTTTATGCCAGCACCTTTAAAAGGCAAAAGCAGAGGGAACACAATTTCAGATATTATATAGGCTAACAACAACAAACAAGGAAGAACTTTGCTCATATTGATTTTTACCCAAGGATGTGGAGTTAAACTTTGCATATAAAACACTTCTGCAATCCCAGACTTTACAGAATTAAAATTTCAGCTACTGTTGAAGACTTTACCTAACAGACATCTAAAAAAAATCCACATTTATTGACATAATATCCAAAGTTTGCCAAAGTAAAGTTTATGGAAATTCATACTTTGAACTTACTCAAAGAAATTAAATTATTTGAATAATAAATTTGTACACACAGCTCTATATCACTAAAGGCAAAATGAGGTATTTTGGGAGAGAAGCAAAGGGATGACTTTTTGGTAGAAATTTATTCTTTATAGGGCATTGTATACTCCAAAAAATATAACATTTAAAGTAATTAGTACCATTTTAAAGGAATTTCAATACTTATGTGAGATTGCAACCATCCTTAAAATCAGCTGAGAAACTCAAGGTAATATAGATTACTAATACAAATGACAAAATAATATCCTAAGCAGAGCTAGGCCTAAATACAAGTGAAATAATGTATGCAAAACTGTCTTTTGACTGATAAGCAATTTTACTTTAGGCATTAATTAGAAGCAATTTGAAACAATACAAAAAACCCCCCATGAGCTTTAGGTAACAATCATAAGGCAATGAAGACTGAAAAGCTAAAACAAACTAAAAATAGTTTGCTTTTAATCAACTGAACATTGGCTAGTTTGGAAGAACAAACTACTGTTTTTCTACAGCTCTGTCCTTGGTACTTCACAGTATTAAAATATATGGATTTCTCCATTTGTTTAAAAAAAAGGCATAGAAAGAGATCTCAGTTTATGTTGATTTACTACCTTATGAGATCTGGCTGAAATCAGCAGCATTACAAAGCTTTGAGAAGTTGGCTTTGAGGTTTATTTGTAAAAATTACCTGCAGTGCAGTCTCAAGACGTCAGAGAAGTTATTTATAGGAGGACACTTTATACGTATTTTTGAAGTACAAACTGCCTTATTAAAGTCACATTGTAATACATTCTTCATCTACAGTACAAAACAACAACTGAAATCCTTTCTGTACTGTTACTGCTATGAAAATGCTTTCAGAGTTGCCAGGAATTTACCCTCTGAGTTTTTCATGAGAGTTTCAGAAAACATGCTTCCAAACAAGAATTCAAGCCCTTAGCCTGAGCTCAAGTTTCCTAAATTCCAGGCCACAGGTCCTATCTTCAAGACAGACTTGGTCACAAGCTATCCTGAGGTATAAGCTATGCATAAGTTCCACTTACACTTATTTGGACCTGAGAAAACATCAACAGAACAAACCCATTTTAACCCATAGCTAAAGTAGGGATGAACCATCAACCCAGTATTAATGTTAGCAAGAGCTTTTTCTTTTTTTCTTTCCCCCCTCTTTTTTAATAAATAAAAATAATAATAAAAATTCTTCTGCTGGACTCTAAAAGTTCAGGAATTTATTTAAGGTTCCAGAATTGACATGTTTGAACACTATAGGAAATTATATGTTCAGAATCAAACAAACCTTCAAATGGAGATTATGTAATTATGTAATCTAAATTAATACAGTTTAATTGTCCTAAATGGCAGAGGCAGCTGTAATTCAGAGCCATAAAGTATAACAGTCAGAAAATAAAAATATACCACTGAAATCAGCCATTCATCTAATCTGTTAAATTCTCTAGATTTTAATGCATTAATAGCTGACTCCTAAGCCAACCTCACATCTTAGTTTCTTGGAAAAGAAGGAAAGAGAGATCATCAAATGCTTCTGTTTATGTAGTTTTTCTCTTTGATTGTTACCCATTGAGAATTGTGAATTAATCCTTAACAATTTGTTCCTTGATCAGATAGGCCTTTGATTTGTTATTGCTGTATGTGAACACTGGGCTGTATGTGCCAATTAATTTATATCAAATACTGAGGCATAAATGCTAAGAAAAAAACAGAGCATGTGAGACTACAATATATGTAGGATATATTATGGCCAAAATACACTAATTAGAAATGACTGTAAGGGTGGTTTTTTTTCTTAAGTTCCACCAAATGACTGTTTCCATTTCAAAGGCACAACCTAAAAACCAGAAACAGCAAATCCGTAACTGGCCTCTTGTAAGCACACACACATTTTCCCATTACAGTATTTTTTGTAAAAGGCTCCCATAGAACTGCATGCCAAGGATGGGCTGAACTTGCAAGGGAGCTCTTCAGAGTTTATGCTTAAAATAATCAATTCATTTGTGGTGTCGTAATATCAAAGCCCACTCCATTCAGCACCTAGTTTTCATGCTGGATATGGAAATATCCAACACAGGGAAAAACTACAAAAACAAAAAAATTATGCAAGATTTTTCAATTTCCATTGAATAGCTAATGGTTTTGTGAAGTTTAAATAAAAAAAGGAAAGGCATTATTGCATTCAAGATAGTAGTTGAAAGGTTAAGAATTAGAGATCCTTTCTTGCATATGCATATAGATACACATACTACATCGGAAACACTTCACTTTTTGAATTTATTTCACTTTCACAGGTATATGCAAGGTAACTTCATGTCCTATATATTCCAAACAACATTTCAGTTAAAATTCTTTTACACAAATTCAGTAGAATTCCAAGAAAATTTCTATTCAACAGAAATGAAGGTTTGTTTGCATATATTTTGTACATTAGTGGAAAGCTGGAAGATTATAAGCTTGTTCTGAGAACAGCAAAACTACTGAAATTTGATTTCTTTTATATCCCTGTCTTTATCGCCCAGCCCCCTTTCCTCTTCTTACCCTGGTATTAACTTCAGTTTCCCTCTATGACACAGTGAGTAAGAGAAAAAAATACTATATAGGCATACAAAAAACCCTTAATAATTATAATTTTCATCCCCAAAATGAATGGTGTCTGAGAAATTTAGGAGTATCAATCTTGTCACTTCTTTTCCTACAATCTTCTGCTGGGTTCAGAAGTTATTTTTTAAATGTCAGAAGAAAGAGTTTCTTCTTAAAAATATGCTTTTCACAGTCTCCATCGCCTAACAGAGACAAAAAAAAGTATGTGTATATGTGTATGTGTATAATTGTATGATTATTAAAAATATACATATTTTGATATATGAATTTGATTTTGAAACAGAAATTCTGTCATTAAATTACTTTGAGTTTCCAGTATCTTTAACTGTAAGGCAAATTAATGAAATAGGCAACTTATTCCTTGTTAAACAAGGAAAAAAGAAGAAAAAATCTATTATGGTAAACAATTTTCAGATATTATAAACGACCATTTTAAACTAGACTTAGAAGGAGAACATTATTTGTTTATTTATTTATTTAAAGAGGCTTACTATTTGCATTTAGTTTTTGCACACGTCGTTTCTCTCACATTCATACTTTTCTACCGCGCACAGGACATTCTTTTCATACTCCTACCTAATGAACGGCAGTCACCTGGATTTTGTTCTCTGCACGTGAAAGAACAGCGTACGGCTATGGAAGGTGACGAGCCCATCTCACAGCGGAGCCCCGCTCTGGGGGCTCGGGCTGGGCGGGCGATGGCAGGAGGGGAAGTGCTGAGTGGGGAGCAGGCGAGACGCCCACCCGGGACACCCGCTGAATCCGCCCCCTCCCCGCCGGGGCACGCAGCACGATCACGCGTCGCTGAGAAGCTTAGCACGACGCTAGCTTACGTGCTCACAATTTGGTACATTAATGAGTTGGGAAATCTTTCTCCCTGCTGTATAATTACTTTGATGCTCATGATATTTATTCTCTTACCCACCTACAACAGGATTCTAGTAATTAAACTTTCTTGAACCTACGCTGCTCTTAAGTCAGTCACAGGAGAAAAGCAATTTGCTATTTTAACGTTTTTGACCTCTGGATCTAACCGAGGGGTATTGGCTTATGCTAGGAAGTGCTTACACCCACTCCCCCTACCAAGTGTTATTCAGACTTAAAAAAGAAGCCTAAATAACACCTCTATATTTTAGCAGAGTCAGAAACAGATGGAGTGCTACTGTTGCCAGCTCATCTATCTGTACTTTGTTCAGGGTGGGGTTTTTTTTGCTTCTTTTAAAGCAAACAGATTTGTAACTTTACCTTCCCCATACCCAATACATGAATATACGATAAAGTTGACCAAGAAAAGGTCCTGTCCACCCCATAGTTTAAGGAGCACAAATAATGAAAGGCCTATTACAAAGCAACAGCTAACATCATCTCCATTTCCAGCAAGTAAATCAATAGCTCCATTCACAACAGGGTTCACAGACGATCCAACTCCAGGAAAGCCACGCATACTTACAAATTATAAAGCATATCAGCCATGTTGCTGCGGTAGTACAAGGCATTTCTATAGGCGCTTTCAGCTTCAGAAATCTTGCTCTGGCTCTTGAGAACATTTCCAAGGTTACCCCATGCTGTCAAGAGGAGAAAACAGTATTCAGAAAGAGCTACAATCCAATTACACATGACACAGTATCCGAGTATCAGGAAGTTCCTCAGGGAGAAAAACCCCACAAAGAAACTATTTTTATGGAAGGGGAGGGAAGCTTGGTTGGTGTCTTTCCCCCAGTTCTCTGGATCTCTGCATTTTACTGTGAGACTCACATTTCATAGCGGTCATTTGCATACATTCTGCATACCTAGAGCTTTTGGGTGGGAAAAGGATCTATAAGAGCAAAATGTATCTCTCTGCTTCAGAAACTACTATAGCAAAGGGAAAGTACCATTTTATTTTGTATCACCTCTAAATAAAAATCTACAGAGTGAAATGTGGAACTGGGGCATCTTCATAATTTTAGCTTTTTTTTTTTAAGCCTATCTACTCTAAACAGCAAGCAATTTTCCCAGAGTAGACACAGCTCACACTGAAGTATGAAAACTGACAAATGACGCAGGAATTGAAAGAATGGTTAGGTAAGTAATCAGGATTAAAAGTATGCCATATGGATATAAACATACTACACAGATCACTAAAATGCATTTTTTCTACTTGGAAAACATGTGGTTCCTTTCCATACAATTTATTATGTTATACAACGTGCTTTTATATCCCATCTATAAAGGATTTGAGGTAAAAAAATATTTAAGACTCCACATGTGTTCCCTTTGCAGTTTTGTTGAGTGGCACAAAAACTGTACTTACAAAAGAAACTGGAACTAACATTTTATAGAAAACACAGCCCATGTTATTCACAATTTAGGAAGCTAATTTAACTGGCATTATAATTATAGTCTATGTGCATACATGAAAAAAACCCCATTATGTTTATAAATACATCAAAGTTTTTTCATAAACCACTCCTACTTTCACAAGTATTTTTTTTATGAGCAAGAATAATGGAAAGATGATGCATGTCCTTTCCAACCACACAATATACGGCAAACTTTTCTTCCTTCCAGATGCACTAACCATAAACATTAGCTCAAGTAGCAGTTAAACTCTGCTTCTTCAGTTACTCGAGCCCTTTTCTTACAGGAATTTGTTTCAATCCTCAGTAATGCAAAGCTTCAATGCAGTTTTAACATAACACTACTAAATAGGTTGATAATTATTTCAGATACATGTTTTTTCCTTAGAAATTGAATTGCTTTCAAACTGCTGTGGTTTGCTGCAGAAGCATCTTGCCACATGGGTGGAAACAGCAGCAAACACAGCATTTTCCTCTGAGCAGAATAAACTAATAATTTCCGGGGGAAAAAAAATACGGAATCCTTTTAGGATTCACAAAAATAATGATGTCATCCAACTGTGCACAACATATTTTGTAAAGACAAAGAAAAAAACCCAAAACAATTATTTCCATGAGAAAAGAAGCTATTACTTCTGTGAGTCACTTCATTTTCACCTAGTATTTTATAAGATGAGAAATAATTCAGAAGTTATTTATCACTAAATTGACAAAAGTCACAAAAATGTTCCATCAGTCTCTTGTTTAAGGAAATAAAGCTGCTAAAAATATTCTTAAATTCACTCAATTTTTACAGTCTTTGCTGTCATATGCGCAGAATTCTGAATTTATTTCCCCACTACTGTTAATATTCTTTTTAACACATTTTGGAAGCAGCAATTAAGGTGACTAGCCAGCTTGTAAGCATTAACACTTGTAAGGAAAAAACAAATTATTTTTTTAAAACCTCATTTGTGAAAACACACTCTGATGTTGCTTCTGCAGTACATGATCATCTAATTTGCATGTGGTTGTATGTTCCATACAATCTGAGCTACTTTTGTTTTCACTCTCTGATCTTCATAACAGAGCATTACATCAAATGACCATTTGGACTACCGGTAACAATTTCCTGCTATATAGTTACTTGCTCCCAACCACTCTGAAGCTCAGTAAATGAAAGGATGTATAGAAGAATGATTTGGTTCATCTTTTCATCTGTTAGACTGGAAAAACGCTGTTAACACTGTTAAATGCAATAGTTTCTCCTCTAGACTTCATTTCATGCTATACACTCTATTATTTATCAGAGTTAATATAATTTTTAAGGCAATACTTTTATTTTACATTCTGCCAAATAATCTGTGTCAATCAATATTTAATCTGCATTATTTCATCTGGAATGCATTCCATTTAGACTTTTGTCTAAACTTGTAAAATTGTGAATGATTCATTTAACTTAATGTGATATACTAGAAGAAGTGATAGTAGTAGAAAATAGCAAACATAAAAGTCGATAATCTCACAATTTATCATTAAAAGAAACATGAAAACCAAGGTCTTTTTACTTCCCCAAACTATAAAAGCTTGGTATAAATCCTCACATCTATTTAAATACATTATTAGTTAGATGAATGGCCTACGTCTGGCTGGAGATGAAGTTACATGGAACATTTTATAGAATAAATGCTTATTTGTAGAGATCATGCTCATAGCCCTAGAAGTTACAAACAGCAATTATCTGCAGCACCCAAGTCCTCTTGGTAGTTGGTATAGGAAGGACAGGAAAGAGGATGGTCTATGTGGAAAAGAGGCTACGTTGGCTACTCAAGAAACTTCACTCCTTTTTTGTCTTACGTAGTGCAACTAACCTTAGGAAACACAAAGAATTTCAATTATTAACTCCATCTCTGGCATCCAGTTTCTCAATCCATATCTCAAGACAAATTTCTCCTGCAAAATTGTAACAACATTGGTTCAACTATGTGCACATTCAGAGATCGAAACCTAATTATCCCTGAATGAAGCCACATCCCTACTAAAAACATACGCTATGACTCCAACTAAATTTCAGCACTCAACTATTTTCCATCTCTACATGGTGAGAAATTAAAAATGAATATTCTCAAAAGAAAAAGAAACTAGGTCAGTAATTCTGGAATTTAAAATAGATTTTTATTCCACTTATTTTATATATTATTTTTTTTTCATATAAAATCTCTAATACCTGAAATTGCAAAAGGGAACACTTAATGTTCAGAAGATGCTAAAAGTATATATAAACCACAGTTTAATCTTTAATTACAAATTCAATTTTTCTCCTATTGGAGACCCTATTCAGCACAAGAGAAAATGCAAGCTGTGAAAGAAACAGCTTTGTAATATTTACTTTTTGCCTGCTGCTTAACTCCCTGTGCACCAACAACGAGACTAAAATAGTCCCAGGTCTTTTAGAAATAATACTCCATCATAGCACAGGAACAAAGGTAACATTCATATATATCTCACACACCTACAAAACAGTCCATCCATTCAAACTTTACTTCATTGCCTACTTTTCCATAGGTCACACTCAATATAAATGGGCATATTAAAAACGAAATCCATTTCATCATCTTGTATCCTAAGCCAATTATAAAATGAAAAATCTCCTAATGTTTGAGAATTCCTAGGCTAGTTACATTTCCTTGCAGGAAAACGGAACATTTTAAAGGGGTTTTGTTGCTGTTGCTTTTAAATAAATAGCAGGAAAAATTACATAGCACTAAGTAGGAAAATAAGCAATTGTTTAAGTGTTATCGTTTTGGCCATATCAAACTAGATTTTTATTAAACTTTAAAGATTACATTTATGCCACCTTGCAGTGAGAGTAGGTCAAGTTCTCAGGCATTTAATTGCTTTCAAAATGAAAATGAATATGAAAAATTTCAGCTTCAAATTTAGCACTATAAATTTCTCAACAATCTCATTGAAACTGAGGATTAAGATTTAACAAGCCTGAAAAATATCAGGTTGGCATATTACATCTTCTCTAAGCACCTTCACTCTGGAAGAGAACAAGACAAACAACAGTGAAGCACGAACAACGTTGTCCAATCTAATCTGCCTGGATTTAAGAAGCAGATCTTACTGAAGAGAACAGCTGAACTTTCAGCTTGCAATTGAATTATGAAAACAAATGAGAAATGGAAATGAATGTGTGCAAATATCTTCATTTAAATAAATCTTTTGCTTTCTACTGAATTAAGGATTATGCTATGCTGTTCAGTGAAATGGAAATAACAAAGCAACAAAATAAACAGAGAAAAGTACTCAGATGGTGTAAAAGCATGTATGTTGATTACTTGATCTAATAGTTTGCTTAAAAAAAAAAAAAAATCATAAATCATTAGCAAATATAACCCGAAGTATTAAAGGACGATTCTCCTTCCTATGTATGACCCCTACATGATCCATGCAAAACTAAGTAAAAATAAAATCTATTTGGAAACTCACAATCTATTCACATATCTGTTGCCCAAACACCTCTGCTGACATAAGGAGGAAAAGAAAAGCCAAACCAAATCCCCTATTAAATTGCTGAAATACAACCTTGTAAACTTTTAAAAAATAATATAGTAAAGAAAATGAAAATGCTGTTTTTCCCAGTGTGTTATGCCAGTAGGCAAACACAGCCTTTTGTAACCTTACTAAGAGCAAACACACTTGAAAACTGATGAAATAAATAGGACTCTAAAGTTAAAAAATAGATGTATGACATTCACAATTCACGTCAATAAATTATTGACTTTTTGTAATACTGTTCTCACCTTAAACTATCAGACTTATTCACAAAATAAACTTAAAACACAAATTGATGAATGCATCAAAAAATCTGAACTAGATTATTACTTCAGTGAAACAAACTACTTGAACGAAGACTGAAGTCATCCAAGTCATCCATAATCAACTTGTCAGCAGTTCCAAACTAGCACCTTTAGTTCACAAAAAAATGCACATCAAGTCAAGAAAACTTCTATGGAGCTTTACAAATATACGTCCGTTATTTACTATTATTTACTGAAATTAGTAATGGCAGTTCCAGGTTGCATTCCCTCTGTTTAAAATCCTTCTGCATTTCTCCTGACTCACATAAGAAAAAGAAGTGAATGTGTAACAATTATCATCTCTATTTTTTCATAAACAGAGTTTAGGATGAAGAGATTCTGGTCCAGAAAAAAAAGTCTTTTTTTTTTATTGCAATGGCA